CCCAAAAAGAAGACTGAAGCAACCTCATACAGACACAGTGCACGCAATTAGGGACCACTGCATGGAAACAGGGAGCAAGCCAAATTGACTGTGTGGACACAGACTTCTCTCTCTCCTCTTCCAGCACTGCTTAAACTTCTTTCCAAGGAACCCCTACTTTTTAAAAATTATAACCTGAATAATGAAATGGGCTTATCTCAAACTTTCTCCATTTTAGGCAAAAAAACCTTAAGAGATTGGGCTGTCAAATTCCTGGACTGTGGAATCTAATCCAAATCAGAGCCCTAATTTGGTTATGAACCACAAAGCCAGATCCTAATCCAGATTCAAACATTACTCTTTAATATTTAGGGAAAGTTGCTGTCAGTGATATTGCCCATAAATCCCAATAGCCCTAACAATATTCTGAAATTGCAGGTATTGGTTCTAAATGTATTGATTATGCTCCTCCACATATATTCCTCATAGCAGAGAAGATGCATCTGAGTTTGTAAAAGTAGCATTCTGTTCAAAGCAGGTTCAAGTTTTGCATTTGTTCTCAAACCACAGCAATGACTGATTTTATTAGTTGTGATTATATGTATAGATACATACATATTTCCATTTGACCATATAAGAATTAAAGGGTTTCACGTGTGTACCCAGTTTTGTGTGCCTTAAAAACAGTCATGGTTGTGAACTAATTAAAATGTGTTCACATGTCCAAAGTGGGCATTGCTTTAGACTCTTTAGCTTTTCATTTGATTCCATTTAATTCCATTGAGACATTTCTGTTCACCTTGAACAGATCTACTCACGTTTACCATTTCTACGTTCTTTTTCTGGCAAATCAGGATCATCTCGAGAGTCATAAAAACAAGAACAAAAAAAGAAATTCGACCGCTGTTCCTGTTACCTTGTTCTCATCTGTATCATGTGTTTCAGCTTAGGAACCCATGGAGCCCTGCAGATAGTACCTGGGAAGTTTACAGTACAAAATGTCTTAGATAAATGAAAAGTTGTCAGATTTATCAAATTGATTTGAAATATGTTGCTTTTTATAAGTTTCTGATAAAATATGTATTTGTTTCTGTCCAATTTCCTGTTATTTTACTTTTTGGGTTGCTAGGAAACCCACCTGCCAGGATCTGTGGTTGAAGGACAAAATTTCCTCATTTCCCTAGCTTTTTTCCACAACATAGAAAGACTGAAAGAAGATATGTCCATGAGCTGCCCTAGGGGCGATCCTTATTTTTAGACCACTCTGAACACAAGAGGACAAACTTAAGAATAACTTTGGTAAATTCAGTGCAGTCTTACAAAGAAATGACTTAAAATGTATTTTAATTTTGTGCCAGTAGAGATGATTTTGTCCTGATGTTCTTCACCTCATGTAAGAAAGGTAATTCTGTTTCATCATAAACTATTTCTTAAAATTTTGCAATTAAGCTTGAAAAACCTTTGGCTGTGGTTTGGCAATAAAAGCAGGTTAATGTAATGAAACCCCCAAATGAGTTAAATAATGCCACTTGTTCATTTTGCAGTGATTTCAAAGCATTAAGATGGTGAAGAGTAGGTTTGATATTACCTGGTAATTTTTTTTTCAGTCTTTTAGTAGTAGTGGTGTGTTAGGAAATTCATTAGGTGATAATATCGCTCTCCTCCTGATTTCCTTGGCAATGGTCTGTATTCTTCAGCTCTTAAAATTATGAGCTCAAAGTTTGATTTTTTCATTATTGTCAAGAAGTCAAATTATTGCTGAGAAAAACAGCAGGTCAGTGATACTATTAGTATCATAATACAAACTTTATTCATACCAGATTCAATTGCATTTTTTTTTGTTAAAAAATGGCTATTCTAAAAGAGCCAAGGTTTTGTACTTTGGTCCTCTGCTAGAATCCACCTCCTTAGCCCTCTAAAATCACTTTCCCGTAATGGCTGTTTCCAAGCAGGCATCTGTAAACTCTCAACTGATACCTGCTCTGTCCTAGCATGATACATCCTCTTTAATTTTTCTGCAGTTTGTTCTTCTGCATGCTCTCTTTTTATCTGGAGCGTGGTAGGCAATTATTGCTAACTTGAAAAGTCAGAAACATCGCAGGAGATGAGAAAGTGTCACAGAATAAGCAGAGTGCCACTCTCTATTCTGATGAGAATGAAAGGAACTGTTTGTATTATAATACTGAATTTTCAGTAAAAGTTGAATTCTAATGTTTTTTCCTAGTTTAGATTCACAGTGGATTGTTGTGTACCTAAATTTTATTGGTTTCACGATATTGAATTTGATATTGCGGAAAGTTTTTAAATGTGTACTTGATGTACATGAACTTACTGCTGGTTGTGATAGCAGGGATCTCAAGGAGACCAGAGGAATGACCATTCAGTCCCTGAACGCAGGAGTTCACAAATTGAAGAGGAAGCACGGGTTGAACCCATCAAGAAATCCCAGCATCGCTCTTCCTCAAGCCAACACCACAACCATCGCAGTGGTGTTAGAAGCCTTTCTAGGCAAGAAACTTTTGACTCAGAAACACAAGACAGCAGAGATTCGGCTTACGTAGAGCCAAAGGAGGACTACTTACATGAGCATGGTGATCACTATGATTCTCACAGGGATCACAATCATAGAGACGAGTCCCACGGGAGCAGTGATCACAGACATAGAGAATCAAGGCATCGGTCAAAGGAGAGGGACCGCGAGCAGGACCACAATGAATGCAACAAACAGCGTAGTCGTCATAAATCGAGGGACCAATATTGTGACAAGGATGGTGAAGTGATATCAAAAAGACGTAACGACGCAGGAGAATGGAACAGGGATGTTTACATCCGCCAGTAACTTTTGCCTCTGGCAGTCTTATGATTCCTTGAAGTCTTGTAACAATGCCCCTTGAAAAACATCTCCGGGTTCTTCATTGCAGAACATATGGTATCCTTCTGTATGCTGATTTGTATTGCTGTTGCTTGCATAGCAATAGCATGAAATAGAATACTCATATACTTATTTTTTTTGTTAGTGCTATATGAATTAGCGTAGTACAACTGCAGAGTTCCTGGTGTTGTACTACGCCATTTTTCAAGCTGTTTTTTGGTAGCTGCCACTTGAACAATATCTGTTGCCATCAAGGTGTTGTTAGTGTTTTTTAAAAAAAAGGTACACTTGATGTTTAATAACTTCCCGTGTATTTAGCAAGCCAGAATCAGCACATAAAAAAAAAATCTAAATCTTTTTTTGTCTGCTCTGATTCTTAATTTGTACGCACTTGATTTGCATATTGATTTAAGAGCCACATCTGTTGCTTGTACCTCTGGTGGACTCCCATTTGAAGACAGAATTCAGTCTTGCCTTACACGCAGGGGATCATAAGTCAAAATCTATTTTCTATGTACTGGTACTGTGTACTGTATATACAGTTTATAAATGTTATTTCTGCAGACACCTTCTTACTATATGTTTGATCACACTGTTTTAGAGTCCTAATGCCAAGTCAGCAGATTTGCTTTTGAATTACTGGCAACTGGAACTAGCCTCATTTAGGAAATCTGTAACAGTGTTCAACCTAAACACTTTATATTCTGTAGCAGAAAGCTTATACTTACTGTAAATACGAATGAGTGCTTGAGATAAAGAGTCTAAGTCTTATACTTTACACTGTCCTTGCAAACCCAATTTTGCATTTTAAATTTATAGTAAAGATAATGAACTTACCACTATAATTTATTCTTCTCTCTACAGGCCACAAAATTGCAATGCACACAGCTTAATTTTGTTCTGTTGTCAGAATAAAGAGCACATGTGACAGAGGTGTGTATGTGAGTGGATGGGCAGTGGATAGGCCTATGTATGCATGTGCATGTGAGGCAGCAAAGCATGAGACTACTGAAGAAAACAAAGGTCATTCAAAAGCCCAACAAGTCTGCTTCTTCATTCTGTCTATTAATTCAAAAATCCAAATTGCAGTCAGGGAATATGAGGGAGTTTACTGACCCAGGTAATTGAGAAAGCATAAATCTGCTGGCTCTTTGTTGAGACTTCAGGAGAGTAAAAACAGGCAAATGTTACTGTGAGTGTTTCACTGGAAATGTAAAATCTTTGTGTTTTAGAGTATTTGTTTTAGCAAGAAAAGTTTACACAGCTTGTGGAGAGTTATTTTGTTGGAAAATAAATTTTTGTAGCTTCTCCACTTTTTCTACACTTGCCAATTCCTCTGCATTCCCACTTTGCAGCCAGCTTACTGCTTTTCCTTCACCTAAACTATTCTGCTACTGGTGAGAGCTTAGAAAAATGACTGTGACAAAATACTCTGTTATGAGCTTGCTAGAGATTGCAATCAAAGGGAGTGAACACTGTTTTGCATTGAACACCTGTTGAACTGGTAAGTGTGGGGGGGGGAGATTCACTGTTATTTTTGACTACAGGTTCCATACCCTTGCCTAGTGTAAAAGCTATTCTGCATCACATACAATCTTTGTATTAATTGTACAAATGAAATACTTTTTGTATTTCACTGTAAATAGCACATTATATAAAGACTGTAGTGGGATAATAATTAATTTAGCTGGAAATTCTTTTATTAGTTGAATTCCAGGAGTATCAGCATTGCCTGATATTGAATATCATTATAGTGACATGGATGAGATCTATGGCAGGTGCATATTTTCTCCAATCTCCTATTGCAGCACCAAAGTGATTCAGTTTAACTCCCTAAAACATACTTCTATCTTCCCTCTCCCTCTTCTGCCCCTCTCTCTGATTCTTTATATGCATTTTTTACAACAATGTAAGAGTGAGAAATTCTGCTGTCAGATATCTGGCCATTCCTCCCAGTGCTGCTGACTGTTGTGGTTATTCAAAGATAGTATTTGGCTCAAAGCATGAACTATGGGAAATACAAGGAAAAGGGTATTTTTCTAAACATCAGTAGATGACTTTGTAGACAAAGCAAGCATAGGTAAGTAGATCTGTTGTATTACTAAATGGATATATGAGAGTATATAAACAGTGGCTTTTGATACAAGAGGATTTTAGGGTATCAGTGGAAAATGAAGAAAATGACGTTGAAAGACTTTGTTGTTCGAATCATATCAAATCACGTGTAAATGAGAATTGTCTGACTCTATATAGACTGGCTTTAGCTATTTTACCAACTTCAGTAAATGCTTTTCCTCCCTGCAACTGTTACATGACAGCTATGTCCTCCAAGAAGTGATCTATGGATTTCACTTCAATACCTTTAATATTTTAAGTTTTGCTCCAGAGGGTTTATTTTCCACCTTTCTTAAAGTATTTTTAAGGAATGTCTGGCAGAATTTCAAAGCACTGAGTAGCGTATGAAAACCATGTAGTAGGTAGCCATGTATAGATAAATGAGAAAATAAAGAGCATAGTCCAAGCCTTACTATATAAGTATGGCATATATATTTATTTATGGAATTTAAGTATCTTATCACAAAAAAAGGAATGTCCCAATCCAACTGAATCGTATTTTGTATAGTGCTGCTAATTATATTCAGACAACATACTAACTAACACATGCATTTCTTAGACTCACTCATTAGGCTTTTATTAGCCTTGCTAACATAATTTCCTTCAGTTATTGTTTTGAGAGTGACAAATAATTTGTATTGTAAGCTTGTACTACATATATTGCACAATACCATCTTCCTG